GACAAGGCATTTCTTACAAGATATCCATTATATTCTCTACTTAATGTACATAGTCCACATAATAAAAACGAGTAATTTCAACCATGTTTTAACGCCAATCAGGCTTATGGTACTAATGCGTAACAAACAAATCCCCCGGTACTCTTCTGAAAGGTAGTGAGAGTTTGCAGTAGTTTCTTTTACATTAGTCTAAATACATTTTTAACTTCCCCAAAAGAACACAACTTCAATAAGAAACTGATTTCTTACCACACCATTGCGAAATTCTCCAGCGATACCAAGTTGTACCCATAGAGCTCTTGACAGTAAGAAAAGAACAAAAATTACCCCTAGGTATAAAGGATTCCTGCAAGTCAACAAATGACATTAGATTTCAATTAAGTAAATTTTCCATTGGAAGAAAATGGCTTACTATTCTTCCTATTGCATCCTCCTCATCAAACATTCTTTAGATAAATTCAGCATCAATTGCATGATATGACTGGGTGACGACAATTACCTCAAAAGCACCATGAATTCATTGAAACCAAGGACCGCAAGTGCAAGAAGTGCCCATGGAGGAGGTAGCCAACTGTTACTGCGCTTGTGAGCTTCCTGAAAGATATTCGAAGTAATGCCTTCAGCTACTTACTGTAAATAAGAATATTGAATCCTAGATGGAAAGTTTAGGTGCTTGGATACAATAAGAACGGCAAAAAAGGCCTTGTCACCAAAAAGTATTTCATTATGAGTGTGCACAAGCATAAATGGTTACCTAATACAACGCACTACCAGCTTAATAACAATTGTTACCCAATAACAATTTGTCCAATTTGAGTCATTTTTTTATTTAATCATAAAAGAGGCAAGAGGTGTTTTGATATCCAGTTGTTCTCGGAACCTTGTAGGAAGTTGCATTCCTTAGCTTCCATTTTGATGGGATTTACTTAGAATAAAGAATAATGACTTTCTGTTTTGGTCTAATGATAAAAGTTCTTTATAATTACTACAGAAAACAATGTAATTAAAGATTTACACCTGTGCTGATATTGCTTGTGTGACTGTGTACTCCGTCTCTGTTTTGAATTGCCTCCACAAGGACTTGCACTGCACCGGTGTAATTAATGTATCTTTTGGTGGAACCTGGACACACAAGCACCAGCACCTGATTTACTCTCTTGCATGCTTTATTTCTAGCATAAAGTTGAAGCTGAGAAATATTCAATAGTACCTGTTCCCATGAACTCGAAGCAAGTGGATCTATATTAGCAGCATTTCCTTTCCCTTTGGAAACAGGAGCATCAGTAAGAGCTGAAACAAGAATGTTCTCTATCTTATCTGATTTCTCATCCAAACGGATAGCAGCCACTACAGATAAATGCTTCAGGGCCTGTAGAATTGTTACTTATTTGTCAAAAAGCAGATGGATCAGGCACACAATTTGCAAATATGCCTGTATTAACTAGACAGCACTATGAAATTGAAATATTCAGGCAATCCTAGAAAGTTAGACATCACAAAAAATATATAAAATTTTAGGTACCGCAGCACGGGCTTCCTTTGTGATCTTCCGAATATTCTCTTTTCCTGTCCATACTCTTGGCATAGAGTCTTTATCATGACTAAATACTGTTGAGAACCTGAAGATAGCATAGAGATGAAGACTGGGCAGTGACAGAAACAAACATGATAATGGAGAAATCCAGATAACAGGCCAGCTACCTGTCCTTCATATGAATCAAAACCTTTGATGCTTCTTCCCTAGATTTCTTTTCCACCACGTTCCTTGCGTAGTCCTTGAGATTTCCAAGCATCTCATTGAAAAATACTTGGTCCAGTTCAAAGCCAGAAAGAGAATTTGCGAGCCCTGATAGAGCCTTCTGCATTTCTTGTTGATAAAGCCTTCTGATTGATGTCCAAACATCAATCCCAGAAGCTTCAAACAAGGATTCCACAGGTTCAGAAAGAGCTTCTGTTAGTTGTTTCTGCAAAGAAACACACTGCTGTCATAAACTAATCATAACTACTGAAGTATTAGCCTGTCAATATGCCTATTCTGGGGAGAGTTTTCTTAAAGATAGATACGTATGAAGCAATCAACAAGATTAAGAAGATATAGATTGAAAATTTGAAATTATTTTCAAAATAAGGTTTGTACGAACCTCACAGGCAGCTGACAACTCAGACAACTTCGTACTGCGGACAGAAACAGCATGGGCCTCAATATCACGTTGAAGTTTCTCTCGAACTTTGGAAGCATCCCAATCCGCATGCTTAATTACCACATCTAACAAAAGACATAATCAGTCTACTTGTTTGTATTGGCTTGACTATAATATGTTAAAAAAAACTATGCTATTTAAATCAAAGCCCACATAAAGAAAGGGAATGCAGATATTTATGAAATTGTAAAGGCCACAACAAATAAGCAGAGAGGAAAAAAACCATAATTGGATTACAATTACAAGTCATTCCATATGTCAAAAGTTCAGTGCAATAGTGAACCTGCAGGGATGGATTTTCAAAAAAATGATACCGCTATGGTAGTCAAGGGTCCCTGCCACTACACCAAACTCCAATGTTGTGGTGACGCACTGAGGGTGGAGCGTTATACTTTTATGCTCTACCAAGAGTAAACCTTATTTATCAAATATATACATCTTATACAAGAAATATGCTTGCATATGGTTCTTTAAATTACTTGAAATATAGGATTCATGTAACCGATCCCAAACATTTGGCATAAAGGCTTTGTGTCGTTGCTGTTATATTTCTATGGCTCGGTTGTTAAAGAAAGAACAATAGTCCCAGGTAATATTTTCCTTGTTATAAATTAATAGTTAATAGAAATAATCACAAGGGAACTCAAAGTAGATCTACCTTCCTTCCCTGAAGAACGCTTGAAATTTTGTTGCATAATAAAATTGTCCATCAGGAAATTTAATAGACAAATACTACTTTTCCTACATAGCCATCATTTTGAAAAAAATAATAATAAGTGATTTATATACTTATCATAATTAGAATCAATGAAGTTATTAAAAAAGTTGGTTGAGTGCACAATGTATATAACCATCCAGACAGGTAAAGGTAATATATGTATCAGAAAGATAAATTTTAATGTGAAATATTCATGTCTGTAAAATGTTCTGTTAAAAATATAAAGCATCTCAACTTTCTAGCAGTTACAGACATGCTAAAGAAGATGTTACCTGCACACCCTTGTTCAAATTCATCCATGCAAGACTGAGTACAGGAACTAACAGAAGTTGCAAAACCTCTGCCACTTTTTAGCGACTGCTCCAGATCATTTTTAAATTTGTCAAGATATTTAGAACGAAGATGCCCTAACATTGCCTGAAAAGCAGGATGCACAAGCTGCAAAGAACATAAACAAGAACATGTTAACCACGAACCTAGTCCTGTAAAATTATGTCAAGTGAATGGTGTTTGTGGCTCAAATAGTGGTGGAATAAATTATGATGTTATATGATCAACAGAGCCTGGCATAATTAACATAGTGGATACAAGTTGCCACTGCATTTAGCAAAATGCGCTGCCAAGAGATAGAAGTAATGAGATCCACCTACTTAGATGTGACTAGCAGGGTGGATCTCACAACTAATCTCTCTCTTGGTAGACCATTTAACAGAAGCACTTTCTCATTGCACCTTGTGATGTATGGGCAAATAAAATAAAATAAAATTATAATGACTGAAATTTTGGTTTTTAGAGGCTTTCGATGATTTTGATCAACTTTCTAAAACAGATCTTTCATGCTAGTTGTTAAATATTGAATTTGAATTAAAAAGATTAGACAAGAGTAGCCAACCCTACCAAACACATCACCATCATCCATTTTAAGTTTACTAATGGAAAAGGGATTATCTAGAGAGAGAAAGACAAGTGAACGTGGAATATCGCCTTACATGTAAAGCTCTTGATTCCAACTGCTGCCGTTTTGCAGTCCTAACACTTTCTTCAAAATAGATAGCTTCATCGTCATATCTAAAAGTTCACAACAAAAAACAAATTTTACATCAAAATAGTTCCAACTTTCACATTTTCATACAAGGCAAGAACTTTTAGACTGGCTGCATGTACAAGTAGAATTTTGTGGTAAAGTACAGAAGTATATGAGGGGGGAAAGTCAAGGTAAACTTACTCTGACAGGTAAGTGTCCAGGATGGAGCCAAGTTTTCTGCCAAATCCTGACACCGGACCAGATTGAACAGCCTCTTCCAACTCCAGCCAACTCTATAATATATTTGAAATAAATTGTAAAATCTTATGAATATATCACTTCAAACAAACACGATGATAACATCTAATGCTTATTACCTCATCTGAGGTCAAACGACTCAGCTTCTCATTGGCAATCTCTTCGCAACGCACTGTAGCCACCATTACCTAGAAAGTTGTTGTCTAAGTAAATCTTAAAAAACAGCATGAAGTTCATTGTTTCTTAAACAGTGGCATTCAATTGAACACCTTATGAGCAGGAAGGTCGAGGTCTTTATTTTCTCGAATCACTTTCCATATTTCTTGTGCGCTAAAAGAAAATCCTGAAGCAGGAACCACACCTCTTCTATCACCAGCAAGACCTCCAGGTGCAATTGAATGGTGAAACCGCTGCCTTAATTGTTTAACCTGTATAAGAGAAATTTTCACTGCCTCATTAAAATTACATAAAATATAAAATGGTAGAAATTTTAACTTGTTAAACCAATACCACCCCTTAGGCATTTAAACATATGAAAACCCATGGCATTCTATGAAAATAACATGCTCTGCGTCAATTAATATAAGGCATAAATGACAAACATATAGATAGCATAGGACAAACAACTCCTGTGTTAGGTAGGCACCTGTTCTATAAACTGCTCCTCTTTTTCTTCAAAACTAGACAAAGCTGTGACTTCCACCTTTGTATATATTAGATAAATGAATCAGTATATATATATTTGAAGAAACATATCCTATCAGTTCATGATTACTTACATTAAAAAATTCACTGAGTGCAGTATCTTTATGAGCCTCAGGCTTAGGAACACTATCCCATATCTGCAGAGAAGGTGGCAATCAGAATACCATAGACAAAAGAGTAACAATTACTTAATAAATAAACTGAAAATAAAGAACATGCCTTTTGAATATCCTCCCTTAAGACTGGCTCTAAATGTTCCAATGGGGTCTACATGGAGGATAGCAAAAAACAGAGAACAAATGTTAGACATATTGGAGAATTTTTTGAAGCAGGTTTAAAATAGTTACCAAATATCTTAAATATAGAAAAAGTTGACGCAAGAAAGAAAAATCTGCAGATGTGAACCTTTGTCTTGTCACGAATAACAAACAGTAATGTTGTCTTGCGAGGACAGAATAATCGCATCATGACCTGCATGAAAGGAAGTGCAGGTAACACACAGAAATCTGAAGCCTGGTCTTTACCGGACTAAAGGAAAAACTAAAAACAAGTATCAATTTTGAAGAGAGGAAGAATACCTGAAAGACCGTCTTCAAAAGTGGCTTGTTAGCAGCCTGCTCACGGCCGATGTCATGGCACCACCTAGATATATCACATTGTATCATGAAGTCTAGTAACAGGAATATTCTTTACTGGAATAAGAGTGCTACGTGGAGGATTCAGTTTGAATTTAGATAATAGAGAAAAATATTAATACTGTAAATGTTTTCCTCACATATTTATCAGAACAATATCTGAAACTGCCAGTGCAAAAAGGGAACTCTGCTTCTCAAATGCTGTATCATCCTGAAAATGGAAAAGAAATGTCAAACATGATATAACCAACAGAGGTGTGGTGACCAATTAATACCCTTCTCGAAAAACAAACCACCTCTGCTTGTCTCCTAAAGAAAGAGAGAACTCAAAAAAATTATGGAAATAGTAGCAGCAATAACGATTCAAATTTTAAGATCTTATAATTTCTGCTGACAAAGTGAAAGTATCGAATTCTTCTTCACTGCTCATTTCATGCTGATTTAGTTGAGTTGTATATTGTCTATGATTCTATCAACTACCTTACTGTAAAATTGAAATGTGAAGTAGTGAGAGAGTAGGGCGAATAGATTAAGAGAATTTTACTTCTGATAAGCATACAGACAAAAATCAATGAAAACAATCAGTATAAACAGATTACAGTATATATGGCACTATATGTAACAACACACTTAAGCAGAGAAAAAACACATAAAAACTGGTCTTGTGCAGCAATGCTAAACATTTGGTATCAGAAAAC